TCAGTCGTTAACGCTGTACAGACGTTTAAAGTGTTGTTTACGTGACGTCACAATATAGCACCAAACAGCACGTGCAAAACAATCAAATCAAGTACGATATTTTAATGTCGCAAACAAGTTAAGTTTCACATTTATTTCACTTTTAAAAATTTGTATTTCGCTTGAAAAATTATAGAGTGAAATAAAATAAACAAACAAAGTTTTACCAACGTTTTCAAAATTTGTTTTTCTCAAAATGTTTCTACACACGGTAGATTTATCGACAGCTTTTTTCAACCAACTGGGACAGCCTTTAAAGAACGTTTCTATGGGAAACTCTGGCAAAAACAAATTAAACCACCAAACATAGAGTCCAACTTTATAATAATAATTATATTTTTTCTTGACGTGTTAGAATGGAAATAGATATCAATTCTTCGTGCATTATTGTATAATAATGCACGTTTTTCGTTCAAATGCTTCGTAATTAATCACTCAGGCCTATCGGCCTTCGTGATTATATTACTACGCATTTGAACTCAAACCGTGCATTATTCTACAACAATGCACTCAGAATTGATATCTATTTCCTAATTATTACTTTCATTGTATACTTCACTATAAACACATTTTTTCCAATTTTAATGAAAATTAGCATTAAAATGGAGGCATATGTACAGTGTAGTTTTAATTATGTTTTAGCGCTCACTAAATTGATATATCTTATGTTGTTGTTTTTTTACATGTTTTCTCTTATTCACAAAAATGAAATATTTTTTGTGTTGTCAGATTGTGCACAAAGCGTTTAATCTTTCCAGCTGTCACGTATAGGTTTTCAATATTGTATTTTGCTTCAATAGAATAACACATGCTACATGTTAAATTCTAAACATCAAAAGGACGGTCAATATTTCCATCAATCGTGAAAAACTCGTGTATCAGTCGTGATTTACTTTTGATCACGTGATCAGAATGATATATTTTCCAGAAATCTTTATAACTCTATATGCCGTTTGTAATATTGATAGAAGCCAGATATATTATATTGATATGTTAACCAGATCTAAAGATGACATTTTAATTGCCTTTATTTCAAGCGCTTACATCAATATATTAATAATGTAGCAGTCAGTAACACCAAGCTCAATCTCGGAGGACTTTGACTTATTGATTTTCAAGTGCCGGGAATGCCCAAGACCTGCTGGTATAGTCTATATAATTTTCTGTACGAAATCTGCTGTGGTCATATTATTATTTTTACAATAGGTTTAGCTCTTAAATTTGGTTTGCTATTGCTAATCATGGTCATGCAACTACATAGTAAGGTAAAGAAGCAGACGCTTGTTTTGGTTGAGTCTATTATGTTTTGTTTAGGGGGTTAGTTGTCATACACAAATTTACAATTTATATGCATTTAATTTTTTCCAGTGATTGTTATTATCTCAAATGATTCTGTGATTGTTGTTTTATCAATTCATTTGTAAATAAGATTGTTTTATGTCTATTAACGGAATAATTTTAATGAACACGAAATTAGTTCACACCTACATGTGTTTTGATAATGTGATGGTTTAAGCCAATGAAAACACATCAATATTATTACACTCAGGCAGAGAAAAAGTGTGCAAAGAGTATATCGATAATCTTTCTGTAGCAGGCAAACTTTGAATTGCAAGTATTTTTTTTTCATATCTTTTCGACAGGATAAACTGCACGAGGAGGGCCGGGCATTTTTGTATCGTAAAATGGCTCAAGTGATTATCCCAAGCACCACCGCGACTTAGCGCGGGAATTATAAATATAGCTAACCTCGGCGCGTCGCATAGGATGGAAAATACCTTTTTCATATTTTATTGTAATAAATATTTACAAACTGTGTCTTTCGGTTTTTTTTTATCAATATATAATCAATAATGATGTTATTATGAATAAATAATCATATCTCAAATCTGTGACTATGAAATTATACCTTAACCCATTACTTCATATACACGCCTTTTAACGCCTTTTTCACCCCCCCCCCTTTTTTGTTGTCTAAAATGATGAAAAAATGCCTTCTTTAGGCCCCAAACACTTGTTTTTGTTTGAGAAATGTTGTTAAAAAAATTGACCCCTTTTTCGGCGCGGCCCCCCAACCAAAAGATACATCAGGGGGTTGCCAGAAGGGGGATGTGCCCCCTTCTGTTTGGGGGGGTTTGAAGGGGGGCGGAGTCCCCCTCATCGCCAAGAAAATTTTGGACTTGTGAGAGGCTGTAAATGACCCCAGATTGATCATAAGGTGACGTGTAACCAACGCTGAAAAGCATTTGACTCTATCTCAATCCATTGAGAAGTTGCAGCACTTTGAAATCAATTTTGATGGAAAAAATCAACGCAAAATAGTGATTTTTGGCAATTTTGAGATGTCCCCTCGTTGCCATGGTAACAGAAAATTTAAGCCTGAGCATGTTGTTGCAAGGACAATGGTCCAGTCAACATTTGTGCCAAGTTTGATTAGTGTTGAAGCAGTTTTTATAGTATTATAGCAATTTGAACTTGTAACTGGAGACTTTTCAATGAAAACAGCCATTTTTCACAAAATGCTCATGAAGCAATGGGTTAATGAAAAAAAAAAAAAAAATCTACAAAACAACAATTTTTCTTTCAAATTTATATGACAGGCCATGTTTAAACATGAAAAAACACGATTTAGGGTAATTTCAAGTATTTTCATCATTTTCAGTTAACCCATTACTTCATATACACGCCTTTTAACGCCTTTTTCACCCCCCCCCCCTTTTTTGTTGTCTCAAATGATGAAAAAAAATGCCTTATTTAGGCCCCAAACACTTGTTTTTGTTTGAGAAATGTTGTTAAAAAAATTGACCCCTTTTTCGGCGCGGCCCCCAACCAAAAGATACATCAGGGGGTTGCCAGAAGGGGGATGTGCCCCCTTCTGTTTTGGGGGTTTGAAGGGGGGCGGAGTCCCCCTCATCGCCAAGAAAATTTTGGACTTGTGAGAGGCTGTAAATGACCCCAGATTGATCATAAGGTAACGTGTAACCAACGCTGAAAAGCATTTGACTCTATCTCAATCCATTGAGAAGTTGCAGCACTTTGAAATCAATTTTGATGGAAAAAATCAACGCAAAATAGTGATTTTTGGCAATTTTGAGATGTCCCCTCGTTGCCATGGTAACAGAAAATTTAAGTCTGAGCATGTTGTTGCAAGGACAATGGTCCAGTCAACATTTGTGCCAAGTTTGATTAGTGTTGAAGCAGTTTTTATAGTATTATAGCAATTTGAACTTGTAACTGGAGACTTTTCAATGAAAACAGCCATTTTTCACAAAATGCTCATGAAGCAATGGGTTAATGAAAAAAATAAAAAAATCTACAAAACAACAATTTTTCTTCAAATTTATATGACAGGCCATGTTTAAACATGAAAAAACACGATTTAGGGTAATTTCAAGTATTTTCATCATTTTCAGTTAACCCATTACTTCATATACACGCCTTTTAACGCCTTTTTCACCCCCCCCCCTTTTTTGTTGTCTCAAATGATGAAAAAATGCCTTATTTAGGCCCCAAACACTTGTTTTTGTTTGAGAAATGTTGTTAAAAAAATTGACCCCTTTTTCGGCGCGGCCCCCCAACCAAAAGATACATCAGGGGGTTGCCAGAAGGGGGATGTGCCCCCTTCTGTTTTGGGGGGTTCGAAGGGGGGCGGAGTCCCCCTCATCGCCAAGAAAATTTTGGACTTGTGAGAGGCTGTAAATGACCCCAGATTGATCATAAGGTAACGTGTAACCAACGCTGAAAAGCATTTGACTCTATCTCAATCCATTGAGAAGTTGCAGCACTTTGAAATCAATTTTGATGGAAAAAATCAACGCAAAATAGTGATTTTTGGCAATTTTGAGATGTCCCCTCGTTGCCATGGTAACAGAAAATTTAAGTCTGAGCATGTTGTTGCAAGGACAATGGTCCAGTCAACATTTGTGCCAAGTTTGATTAGTGTTGAAGCAGTTTTTATAGTATTATAGCAATTTGAACTTGTAACTGGAGACTTTTCAATGAAAACAGCCATTTTTCACAAAATGCTCATGAAGCAATGGGTTAAGTGTATTAAAAAGGTTTTTAATTTCCTGTAATTTCATTTTGTGATTATGCTTCAAAGCAGTCATTTGACCGTGAATTTTCTTTTCATATTTTGATTTCCTTGAAATCATTTTTCTCATCTGAAGGCATTGCACTTTTAATATGATGATACATTAATTAAATTCCATGAAAATGTTTAAAGATCTAAAATATCTCATGACATGTTTGTTTATTTTACATTACACCTTTAATGCAGAAAACATAAAGTCTTTACCAAAAGTAGTATGCAATCGTACCTATATTACATACGAATGTATGTAATATTTTTCTTGTTTATGTAAAATTCTCTCAGAAAAAAAAAACCGCACTGCGATGCGAGTCGTAAAGCCGGAAGTCCGTTGATTTAGAAACTAAACATATTGTAAAATAATATTTTCTTTCCTCATTTCCGGTGTTAAAATAAATCAATCGGCGCTACGGCTATACACCGTGATTCCCACTTACAGCTAAGTTTATATATGACAATGTCCTTATGATTTCATGGCGAAATTTCCTTATATAAAAAAAAATTTTATGATTATTTCAATAGAAAAAATTATTATCTTTAAGATAAGCATTTCCGTTAAACAACGTGTGCATTGCATGCATCGTATGTAAATATTTAAATTACATTTTTTCCCTGCTATATAAATATGATACAATGGCGGTAATATATTTCCCTGCAAAAAGTTTAACATTACACACGGACATATTTCATCTTGTCACTTGTGATGTTACATCCAGTCACTTTGTGTTTTTTTAAAGTTTTCATTACAATATGAAATACATTACAATTGACTGCACCTTACGGGTAAAATACATACCCCATTCAACCGTATCAAAGTGTAATTTCTACACTATATTAGGCTAGATTGTCATGCTTGGGTTTAACACAGAGAGGATCGAGATGAGAGTGAATCGATACAAACTGCAGTGATGCTAATGTTACTCTGTTGTTCCAAAAATAACTTATTCTATAACACGCCTGTGTTCAGCCACTGTGACTGGCAACAACATAAAGTGTACAGCTGCTATTGCTGTCTTTAGTGTATAATTAACGGAATAAGATACCAAATGGATAAAACGTTTAACGTTTTATGAAAGGAGAATAACTAGGTGATGGAAATGGGCCACATAATGAAAGGATTTATTTTTCAACGATCTGTTAGATACGGGATTCTGGTGTGTGTTGCTTTATTCTTTATAGTGAAAATTATGCGAAAAGAAAATAAATCGGTTCCTCGTATTAGCCGATTTACTAGTAACTTTAATAAACATGTGTATGTTAATGATGAAATACCTTATAGAAACAGAAATGGATTAACAATTGATCAAGTACAAAGAAATGAAAGTGACGTTGTAACTTTAGCTAGGAAAATAAGTTTATATAATAACACAGTTCTTGTGAGTGTGGTCAACGATGCGTATTTACCGTTCGCATATAGTTGGCTCTGTAACACCAAACATATGAATATTCATAGATCTGTGCTAGTCATTACCACAGATATCGAATCAAAAATGAAACTAAATAAGGACTGGCCAGAAGTGTCCGTTTTTCATATTACACTTGACATTCCAAAAGGTGACCAGGAATACAGCCATGTTGGTTATGTTAAAATTATGATTAGAAGAACAGAAATAATTCTGTCTTTACTGAAAGCAAAAATAGATCTGCTTTTACTTGAATTCGATTACGTGTGGTTTACAAATCCAATATATGGTTTCCAACGACAGGCTGGTGTGGATATGCTGGTTAATCCGGTTTCAAACACTGGCGGAAGCGTTTTCAACGGCGGCTTGCTATACATGTTTGCAACCGAAAGGACTCAGGCTCTTTGGACAAAGTTGACGGCCATGATGAAGACACTGGAACAATATCTAAAGGATAAATCAGATGAAATGGCCATATCTGAGGGAGATAATGATCAAACTTACCTATCAAAATTGATCAGAGAAAGGTTGGTGTAATGAGTAAATACTGAATAATGCTGAATATATGATCCTATAAATATGTCATGAAGTATGGACAGCGTTAGTCTTATAAATATGACGTCCCTTTGAGATATTTTTGCTTCTGGGCAAAGCAACGACATAAACTATAACAAGCCCGTACGTCTGATATATTGGACTAGGGCAGCGTGTATGTATTTCACGTAATTGGCTTTAAGTATATATAATTAATAATTTATATGAATCATATGTAGAAAAAGTCCTGTAAATATATATGGCGTCGCTTTGAGATTGGGCCCAAATTCAACAAGTCGGTATGTTATCTGGACTAATGTAGGAAGAACGCAAAAACTTGGCCAGGTCGTGTAACCTTTCTATGTATAATTTCCCGCTCATGACTTTATTTTCTGCATTCATTAATATTTATACCTTTATACTGGCGACATTGTATTATAGTGAGGTCTATTTATAGTTTATTTGTTAAAATATGTAAAGTTATAAAGATTTATGACAATTGTAATGTAAGCATTTTATGTGACACGAGTTGCTAACCAAGTGATATATTCCAAATACAAGGCAATACAACTTGCCAGTCTGTCAAGAAGTTTTCATTTTCATTGAAATTTGTCCTGATAATTACACAGTTTTCAATAAACCTCTATATTAAGTATTAGTTATACTATAACTATAGTACTATGGCACTCTAAGACCATTTTCAATATACCTTATTAGTATTAGTTACACTTAAAAAAACCCCGTTAAACTAGTACTATAGACTCACATTGTAGTATAATGGGAAAAATGACTTTTTTGTAAATAGCAGGAACATTTATTTGTATAGTATCGGACTTGAGAAGAATATATGACCACATTAATAAAAAAAACCCTCTGTGTTCATCTTAAATGTGTAAAAAAAAGAAAAAAAGAAGTGAAATATGAGCCCCCTTTAAAATATACTATAAGTTAAGAGAAGGCCGGAAACTCCAGAGCAATGGATTCAAGAGGTTTTTTGTCAATAATGTCCTAATTTTTCCCCAGGTCCGATACTGTTGCATGTGGTTGGAACAGAAGAGTTAAAGGGGATTGGATAATGTAGGGGCTGGCTTCAGATCACAGCAGCATTTTTAGTCACGTGATCATAAGAGCTAGTTATTAAATTAATAACATTAAAAGTTTATAAATAACATTTAACATTGAACATTGTATACACTGTTGAATGCTTTGCTATTAAAAGGAAAATGTTTCTTAAAGTATACCCAGTGAGAAGTTTTTTTAAAGAAGTATAAAATATACATGTACACTACATAGTATGAGAAATGAGAATAGTACCAGTAAAATCCGCGTAAAATATCGAAGAAGGACTTAGCCATCTTTAAATCTGGACAATACCATTAATTGTAGGCAAAATTCAAAATATGAACTAACTGGATAACGGACAGTGCCGCTAATGACCAGACGGCACGAAATACCGTGCTTCCTGGTCTTGATTTGCAATGATCGCGTGGGTAGATTCAGTCGCCAGGGGGTTAACATTTACACAATTTATTTCGTAGTTAATATCGAACATGTCATATAAAGTTGGTTTTTTGGGTTTTTTTTTTCCAGAATTGTAAACAATATGCTTTAACGATATCAACATAGCTCTGTTCCCAAATAAACAATTTTCATATCACATACCCGGTTTGATATGTGAAATGTACATGCACATTGTGTCGCGCTATCTTTATCTAAATCATATGCATTAAACTTGCAAAAGTCCTATTGTAATGTGTAGAGAATGTTTTAAATTTCCTACGGGCAATACAAATTTGAAGTTATTACTTATTCAACGGAGTATACCAAATGTTATTTCCCGTACGTTTAAATAAACTCTGTATCTCGTATCTTACTAGTATTATACGCTCATTAGTTGAAATGATTATAACATTCCTCAAGTATTCCCGGAACCACGTGTATGCCACATGTTAAGAGTATGGTATTTAAGAAAACGTATAGTGAAAATGAAAATTTTACATTTCCCCCTTTTCATAAATAAATAGGAAGTTTTTTGAAAGTGTGCTTTAGCATATACAAACTTTGATCTTTTTTCCTCAATTTAAAAGTTAAAGTAGTACTCCTCCAGATGTATTTTTATTGTCATAGAATATTGTCAAGTATATTGTAGAAAGAGTGACTTCAACCGTCGTTAAGCACTTAAAATTCACAATGTCGCCTAATTATGTCAAATTATGCAGTGTTTTCTGTCGTAACCTTCTGATTTTGCGTAACGGATTGGCCCATTTTGAATTTGAGACAGATCATTAAAGCAGCATACCTCCAGATTCATCCTAATTTTCATGAAAATTTTGAAAATGTATTTAAAGGTAAAGTATTGTGAAATGAACAAAGACAGTACTTGACACATTATAATCGGCACTTAAAATCCACGTAAATTACCAAAAACGGGTCAAAATATGCATAAATAGCCCCTATTGCGTTAGTAACGCAGTAGAAATATGGTGATAAATACTACAAAATACAAAAATAATTGCACATAAGATATAAATTATCACTTGAATCTTTAACTTGTTTACTTTTCTCAAAGTTTTATCATGGTTTTTCCAAGTTTAATTTTCTTGAAATATTTTGGGTCATCTGGAGGCATGCAGCTTAAAAGGCACATTATGCCTCAGAACTCACTATCTATTAAATTCTTTAGAAATGTCAAACATGTGTTTAATAATGTTTCAATAAATAGATTTAGAGTATAGCTAAAGAAAGTAGCGCTGAATGTGCAGTAATGTGTCGTAAAGGTAGCAAAATGTAAAGAAAGTAGTAATTTGACTTCCATACAAAATACTAATTCACTATAATTGTACCAATTGCCAACAAAGCAATATGAGCAAAGATAGTTTATTATGGCAAGTGAGTATGTTTCGGAAACTGTAACAAAATACCAAAAATAGAAGTGTTTTGAGAAATAAAAATGATGGCATTTCTGAGGCATAATGGGCCTTTATAGTGACGTTGTGCCCATCAAATTGTAAAAGTGAGTGTTCAGGTATAAGTCGAAATAACTTCACATTTTGCCATAGTTGTTTTAATTTACATGTTTATTCAATAACCAATGTGACTAAAATAACTTTAAGATTGTATGGATGATGTTCAATATATAAAAAGAGAGGGGCAAGGCAATTTTAATTTTTGTCTTAAACGTTTTTAGTATCAATTATTGGTCAATAACCATTATAATAATCAATCTTTTGAAATATTCTGTTCTGTCAACTTAACATTAAAATATTGAGCATAATGTAACTTTAAAATTGACGATATTTCGATAACAAAATATTAAAATCTAGCTATCAGCTAAACATAACCTATTTGACCTTGCTGTATTCTAATGGCTAAGGCATCTGCAGGATTTTTGGTCTAATTGCCAAGTAGAAAAAAATGTTAAAAAATAAAAAGTCAATTCCATAGAGAATATAATGTACACAACGCCTTTACGTGAATCATTCGAACCACAGACACTTGGGATGTTGAGCTCCAAACGCCTTAAAATTCAAATAAAATGTATATTTGTCAGTCCCAGCACATATTCTTACCATATATGTCAAAAATCTTAATATAAACTGTTTTTGAAAAACAAATCATATTTCAACATCTATTATTATAGATGTTGAAACATGATTTTATTTTCATCACAGTTTAAAGATCTGTTAAGATTTTCGACATATATGTGCTTGCACTTACAAGTTTATATTTTATTTGGACCTTAAGGCGTTTTGGAGCTCAACACCCAAAGTGTCTGTGATTCTTACTTAACTACAATCATGCCTTCAGCGGTATGGTATTAATGTAGGATCTTTGTTAAATTTGGTCGTAAATTATAGTAAATTTCTATGTGTTTTACGTTTTTCTATTTTTTAATCCTCAGATATGCAAACATTACATACAACTTATTGACCCTAGACAAATACAGTGATGGACAATGGTACAGTAAGAGTGAGGACGAGAGAAGCAAGTTACGCCCTTTGGTTATCAGCAATAACTGGATTATAGGTATAACATTACAATTCAAATATATTATGTAGTTAATTGCGTCTGAATGGCGGGCGTACATCATTACACTCGGAACTCCTCGGCTCTTATTCAATATAAATCCGAAGTTTAACGGAAAGGGCCGAGAGTATGCGATTGACCTTTTTTTAACATTCGGTTCTTTTCTCTTTTTTTCCATGTCTCTTGACATGATAAGTGTGGCAGTACAAAAATCATGGTTAATTTGCTTGGAATATTGTCGGAATTATGCAATAACAACAACAACAACGAAACAAAAAAAAACCCCTACATTTGTTCATTTTCAATCAATGCATTCGCAAATACAGTTCGACCAGAACGCAGTAGTCGTCCGTTCTGAAGTTTTCGAAATGACAACATTCACGCAACACAAAGTAGTAGTTTAAATAAACTATTCACAAATGTTTTACATTGAAATAGCTTGAAACATATTAAGTAAACATAAACACATACGCACAGACGCACACACACACACGCGCGCGCGCGCGATACTTACTTAAAGTGTTTAATCACTACTATAAATGTGTATGCACTGAATCAACGGAATATTATAGAGCTAACACAACACATGTTTTTTGCAAATCTGAAAACATCTATGTTACAGCTAACTAGTTAGGGCGTCGTTGAATGTGTATAAACGCGAATTCTGTAGCACTGAATGACATTTATGTCGTTAGTGTTTGTTGATACTACAATTACTGATAGAAATACACTGTTTTCTACGGTGGCATAAAGTGGACAAGGGAAGTCTTTCTTTTACTACGTACGCTCGCGATATATTAATACATGGTCACGTATTAGAAATTACGCTATTAAGTGCGCAGGCGAATTTCATATAAATACCTATCGCGTGGCCACGTAATACTAGCGCGTGCGCACGTTATACAGACGGTTTGACCACCTAATGCATATTTTTAGGTCATGTTATAATATCGCGTGCACTGTAAAGCTATCGCGTGCGCACGTAAATGATAAAATATTTCCATTGCCCCCTTTAAGCCACCGTAGTGTTCGCAAACTACTGTGATATAGTCATTTGACGTATGTGTGATTCCATTTAACGGTCTTATATAATTAGATGTCTTCAATCGACAGCTTCAAGATTCTGAAAAAAATAATAATTTTATGAACATTTAGTAAAGGTATTTTTTACAGTAAAAACATTGTCAGTTGAATTATTGAAGGCGTGTTATGTAGTCACATACTAGTATTGACATTTGGACAGAATGAAAACTGCATGCTATAATTAATTAAAACTTTGCATGATCTAAGCATTTTTTATTTGAAAAAATGGACGTAACCTTACTCGCTGTCAAGTTATATTTTGGGGAAAAAAAATGGTTATTTCAAAGGCAGATAACTTAAACATAGTTCTGACAAATGCTATTTCTATAATTGGCTTTTCCCTATTTTTTCAAGACTGAAAAAAACTTAAAGTTTTTTGTATCGGTCTAGCTTTAAGGAGAAAAACTGCTGTTTGCCAATCCTTGAAATTTTGCATAAAATCGTCAGCTATATGAAAAGCAGACACCGTAAGGCATTGCCATGCTAATCTTAATTGTGAGCAAAGTGCAGTTAACTCGAAAACGAGCTCGATGGCACCTATATGTTTCTGTTGTCATATCCCGAGATCGTGCAAAATTAAGTAATTTTTATAAAACAGCATTCATTATTTCGGCTAATTGTGATAAAATCCCAACAGAAAAACAGGTTGTTAATTTTATGAAATGAAATCATTTAATTTTTTAAACTGTTAATGATCACCTTTTCTAGAAATGTTAGACACAACGGAGCAATCAAAATCTTTACAAGAATGAATATTAAACTATGCCAATGGTTTTGTTTTAGAAATCATAAAAGATCCCATGGAAAATGCATACACGCATATTTTCCTCTAAAAAGTTGCTAAATTTGAAGAAAAAACTACTCAAGACTTGCTAACAAATTGTACGTAATAGTTCTACAAAGAAATAACCGCTGGGTAGCTTTAGGACAGATTCAGTCTGGTGTATCTTACCAAAATCCCCAACCGTTTTGGTGTCCGTCGGTCTACAATTTCGCGGTTTCACCAGCGTTTTCGTACTACATGGTACTGTCAACGACCGACGAAGACCAGGCCAGCGAAGGGTGACGACAGCACGCCAAGATATAAACATTCGTCTGGTACATATAACCAATCGGTTTATGACACCATCAGAAACTGTTAGAACTATTCCAGGACGCCGAAATCCGACGGTCTCTGCTCACACAATTCGCCGACGTTTGAGGGATGCTGGTCTTACCATGGCCCACCATTATGACCACGCCCTAGACTTGCAAGATTATCACGGGGTACTGTATCCATGTCTCTGCAGATTTAAACCCAAGTGAACACCTTTGGCACCACTTGAAGCAACGGATTCGGAAGAGACAAACTATTCGGGACGTACAAAGACTTTGGGTTGCACTACAGGCCGATGGCGTCAGATTCCACAGGCGACTATCCGCACCCTAGTAAGGTCCATGAGGCGACGATGTACATCTGTAAGAAGCGCTGATGGAGGACATTGTCGTTTTTAAAGATCCCGACAGTGACATTAAGAATAGACATTTATTAGTGATGTTGTTTTTTTAGCTCACCTGAGCATGCTCAGGGTGAGCTTTTAGGATTGATGATTGTCCGTCGTCCGTCGTCCGTTCACATTTAGTTGTTAACACTCTAGCGGTCGCATTTTTGCCTCAATCATCATCAAACTTGGTCAGGATGCTTATCTAGTTGATAGCTCGGATGAGTTCGAACATGGGTCATCTCGGATGAGAAACTAGGTCACAAGAGCTAAAAATAGAAAAACCTTGTTAACACTCTAGAGGTCACTTTTTCGCCTCAATCATCATCAAACTTGGTCAGGATGTTTGTCTAGGTGATAGCTCGGATGAGTTCGAACATGGGTCATCTCGGATGAAAAAGTAGGTCACCGGAGCTAAAAATAGAAAAACCTTGTTAACACTCTAGCGGTCACATTTTTGCATCAATCATCATCAAACTTGGTCAAGATGCTTGTCTAGGTGATAGCTCGGATGAGTTCGAACATGGGTCATCTCGGATAAAAAAGTAGGTCACCGGAGCTAAAAATAGAAAAACCTTGTTAACACTCTAGCGGTCACATTTTTGCATCAATCATCATCAAACTTGGTCAAGATGCTTATCTAGTTGATAACTCGGATGAGTTCGAACATGGGTCATCTCGGATGAAAAAGTAGGTGACCGGAGCTAAAAATATAAAAACCTTGTTAACACTCCAGCGGTCACATTTTTGCATCAATCATCATCAAACTTGGTCACGATGCTTGTCTAGGTGATAGCTCGGATGAGTTCGAACATGGGTCATCTCGGATGAAAAAGTAGGTCACTGGAGCTAAAAATAGAAAAACCTTGTTAACACTCTAGCGGTCACATTTTTGCATCAATCATCACCAAACTTGGTCAGGATGCTTGTCTAGGTGATAGCTCGGATGAGTTCAAACATGGGTCATCTCGGATGAAAAAGTAGGTCACTGGAGCTAAAAATAGAAAAACCTTGTTAACACTCTAGCTGTCACATTTTTGCATCAGTAATCATCAAACTTGGTCAAGATGCTTGTCTAGGTGAAAGCTCAGATGAGTTCGAACATGGGTCATCTCGGATGAAAAACTAGGTCACCGGAGCTAAAAATAGAAAAACCATGTTAACACTCTAGAGGTCACAATTTTGCCTCAATCATCATCAAACTTGATCAGGATGTTTGTCTAGGTGATAGCTCGGATGAGTTCGAACATGGGTCATCTCGGATGAAAAAGTAGGTCACCAGAGCTAAAAATAGAAAAACCTTGTTAACACTCTAGCGGTCACATTTTTGCATCAATCATCATCAAACTTGATCAAAGTGCTTGTCTAGGTGATAGCTCGGATGAGTTCGAACATGGGTCATCTCGGATGAAAAACTAGGTCACAGGAGCTAAAAATAGAAAAACCTTGTTAACACTCTTGTGGTCACAATTTTGACTCAATTGTCATCAAACTTGGTCAGGAAACTTGTCTAGGTCATTGCTGGGAATAAATCGAACATGGGTCATCTCGGCTGAAAAACTAGGTCACAGGAGCTAAAAATAGAAAAATCTTGTTAACACTCTAGTGGCTACTGTTGTGATCCAAATATTCTGTTAATTGGTCTGAAAGTTTGTTTTGATGATTTCTAAGTCAAGTTCGAACATGGGTCCTCTTGGATGAAAAACTAGGTCACATCGCCCAAATATGGAAAAACCTTGTTAACATTCTAGTGGTCACATTTTCGACTCAATTATCATCAAACTTGGTCAGGATGCTTGTCTAGGTAATTGCTTGGATGAGTTCGAAATCGCATGTGGAACTAGGTCACCGGAGCTAAAAATAGAAAAATCTTGTTAACACTCTAGTTGCTACTGTTTTGATCCAAGTATCCTGGAAATTGGTCTGAAAGTTTGTTTTGATGATTTCTAGGTCAAGTTTGAATATGTGTCACCTGGGTAAAAAACTAGGTCGCACTGCTCAAATATGGATAATCCTTGTTAACACTGTAGTGGTCACATTTTTGACTCACCTGTCATGAGACTTGGTCAGAATGCTTGTCTAGGTAATTGTTTGGATGAGTTTGATAAGTCAGGTGAGCGATCTAGGGCCATCATGGCCCTCTTGTTTTAATTTTGTTTTTGGTTTTTGCCTTTGTTAAGTTTGCATCACTGTGATGAAAAAGTGTGATTTTGGGATATTCACCTTAGGTACTTCGATGGACTGGTGTACATTTGATTTTAAACATTTTGAATTATTTTCAGTTGTTAAGTTTGCATTTTGTAATTAAGTTATGATATATATCTAATGATGTAATAAGTGTTTTGTTTTCATGTAATAAAATGCATATAGTGCGGGCGTGCGTTTTCATTGTCCTTAAGTATATAAAGAGTTCCACAAAATATAAGTATATTGTTT